GGACATCAGGTTGGACAAGGTCACCAGCATGGTCCTATCTGCCAGTCCCGTCATTCTTAAAGGAAAGGAGGACTTTTCCAGTCATTAAAGATCAGACACCAGGAAGAGGAAGGAGATCTTTCATACGAGGCCTAGTCTAGCCTCAGTTGGTCTCTCTGACCCGAGTTTCTGTTTCTTCTCTCAGGAGGGTCATGAGAGAGGTGAGTAAATAGCCAGCCGTTGTGTGGAGAGAAGGCTGTAACAGCATATGGTGGTAATGGGCCCCGGACCGGGCTAGGTCATTAATGCACTCTGTGATCCTGCCTAACTCACTTAAACTTTCTGGAGTTAACTTCATCTGAAGCTAATTGGTTGGGGTCTGATTTTTACCCATTCTTGCTAGCTTATTCTCTCTAGTGAGGAGCGCCAACCCACTACCCTCCACCGGTGCCCCCCGCCTCCGCCGGCTTTGTTGAGATATAATTGAATTGTAACACTGTGTAAGTTTAAAGGGCACAATGTGTTGATTTGATACACTTAATATATTGCAAAATGCTTACCGCTGTAGTATTTATTAAATAACACCTGCATCACATCACATCATTGCCATTGCTTTTTTTTTTTTTAGTGACAACATTTAAGATCAACTATTCTCTTAGCAACTTTTAATGTATGATCCAGTAGTATTAACTCTAACCACTGTGCTGCGCATTAGACCCCCAGAACTTGCTCATCTTATAACTGGAACTCTGTACTCTTTGACCAATGTCTCCCCATTTCCCTTCCTCCAGCCTCTGGTAACCAACAGTCCACTCTCCATTTCTGTGAGTTTGGTTCTTTAAAATTCCATGGAAAAGTGATATCATACAGTATTTGTCGTTCTGTGTCCGACTTATTTCACTTAGGATAATGCCCTCATGTTCCACCCACGTTGTTGCGAATGGCACTATGTCCTTCTTTCTTGTGGACGAATAATTTTATATATATATCATTATAAATAAATTATATTAATATTATATTAAATTATAGATGGATAGATAGATTTTTATCCATTCATCTACAGATGGACACTTAGGTTGTTTCCAGGTCTGGCTGTTGTGAATAATGCAGTGAACATGGGAGTCCAGGTATCTTTTCGAGACTCTGCTTTCAATTTCTTTGGAGAAATACCCCATAGTGGGATTGTTGGATTGAGGGTTCCGACTCTTATCTTGTGGGCTTCGACCAGCAAAACCCACGGTGGCAGAAATAATTACTCCAGACTACGGATCAGTCAAGAGAGGTGAGATGGAGCCTGAGGATAGAGTCCCTGAGCCACTCCTAGACTCTCCTGTTTATTAATAGAAAGACTTCAGGTAACAAAGTAACATACATCATAGGAATTCAGGGAAAATGCAGAGCAGGGGGTTACAAGGTTCTTGAAGCAAACAAGGCAATTAATCTTAAGCAATTCAAAGGGTAGACTTTACTATTTCTGGAGATGAGTTTTCTATAGGTAAGGCAAAAGCAGGCAAGCCTAGGAATCCCCCAAATCTGGTAGAGCCTGTTCTAGATAAGCGAAGCATGTTCTGTTGTTTTCAACAAGACAGAAAGCAGGTCTCTGCTGGGCTATGCGGTCCTATAACTTAGTAACCCGTGATTGTATTCCCACACTGGATCACATGGTAATTCTAGCTATAATTTTTGGAGGACCCTCCATACTGTTTCCCACAGTGGCTGCACCAATTTACATGCCCACCAACAGTGCACAAGGGTCCCCTTTTCTCCACATCCTCGCCAACACTTGTTGTCTCTTGTATTCTTGATGACAGCCATTCTGACAGGCATGAGCTGAGATCTCATTGTGATTTTGAGTTGCATTTCCCTGATGATAGTGACACTGAATCCCTTTTCACGTACCTATCAGCCATTTGTATGTCTTCCTTGGAAAAATGTCTATTTAGTTCCTCTGCCCGTTTTTTAAATTGAATTTATTATTGGTGTTTTTTTTTTTTT